TCGAATGAATAGTCCTTTCCCATTTTTCCCTGTAACTGAGCACGAATCCAGTTTCTAGCAGCCGGGTTACGCTTCTCATCCAACCATCCGAGACGTTGTATTTCGCGAACCATCCACTTCCTCTTGCTCTGTTTAGTGAGGACCCATCCTAACCCAGCATCATAGGCTGCCCTCCAGAATGCAAAATAGAACAAAAAGAAAAGTTTGGCCGTTGGACGTGGCAATATATAGAACAGAACAAGCTGTAACCCAAGGAGTGAAAGATTGAGGATGTCGAGATGACTCTTTGGGTAACGCGGATGGAAAAGCCCGGTTAGTACATCGTGCGTGGTTGGAACCCTAAAGACTGATGGCAACATTTTTATCAAAATCCAATTCTGAAAGCTTTTCACTAGCGCCTACCTTCACCGTCTGGAGTCTTGCCCCAAACCACCTCCTCGTGTGACTGACGTGGTTTCTCTGATTGACCACATTCAGCTTTAAATTGGGTTCTTGAATCTCCTGACCCATCGTCGACAGCCTTTCGTTGACGGAGTCCTTGAGGACTCGAGAGGACCATCTCAAGAATTTAACCAAACGACAAAGAACCTAGTGAAGCTGAGTCTCCCGTTTGAATAAAGTTCGTCTCAAGCTTTACTCAATGAATCACGAGTCATTTTACATGCTAATTTTCGAATTTATGTAATTTTTTTTCGCTTTAGCGAGTTCCTTGAAAAACCCATAAGGGGCTTTTTCTCTTTCCTTCTCCGTTGTCACTGTCGCCGCTTCAACGTTCAAGCAACCCTCTACCGTCTGCACACCGAGTTCTGAGCGCTGAGCCTTCTACGAAGCTCCAACAAACTCGCGATCTCCAGCAAACTAGTCATTTCCAATCTAATTCACGATCTTTCGGGCTTCAGGCGTCGAGCACTGCATGCATCACATCATGCCTCCATGAAATTTTTTTGCGGGTCGTGCCCGTCCTCTGAAGCGTAATGACATCCCTCTTTATTCACTCGACGCTCGAACTTTTCCTATCGAGCGTTGAGTTGCTAATGTCAGGGAAGATTGAAGGTGTCCAGATCGATAACAATCGGACCGGTGGCGTTTTTTTCGGTTGACTTCTGGATTTGCATAGAAGTTGACCCTACGAGGCGCCTCACATTTTTTTTGTATGGCGTGATGCCTACCACCTTCACGATAGGCTCTACGTATGCGGCCTTGGTGTATATTCTCCCTTCTAGTTGGTCATCAAGAACCGATGTACCGTCATATGAAATGTACTTGTAATTCTACCGTAGCTGCCAAGGTGCATAAAGTTTGGCCATTTATACTTCGAAGTGGGGACGAGGTCACCGTGCATAACGTGACACATTGTTTAATTACGGATCCCTGAATGTCAATGTCCTCAGGGCCAATTGAATGGCAACCGAAATGGCACGCGATCCACCCAAACCACACTTGAATGTCTTCGCAGCGGAACAATTTCCTTGAGTTGAAACGCCGCAACGTCGATACTAGAAGCTTCCCCATGACCTGATGATAAGTTCACGTGTTGATTGGTTTAAAGGAACTAAACAAGCAATTATAAGAAACCTATGTAAGTACCATGTACCACACCAGTTGGCTCTCATCGTTCCAGCCCAAATATAAGTCATACAACGTTGTTGATCAGTTGTCAAGCATCTCTTTGAAACCTTTCTCACTCTCAACTTCTCCTGGAATGTCTTCAAGCTAAAAATCAAGCAAGGTTCATCACGATCTTATTGACTCCCTATCAGAAGCACTTACTTGGTCGAGTTCAGAAAGGCATTGGCCGATGATGCCGATGGCCTTTTGAAGGTCCTCTTCGAGAATCACCAACGGAGGGGCAAAGCGAACACTGCACCGAAGAAAGTTGCAGCAAATCAAAGAAAAAGATATCAAGTCACGTACATGTTGCAATGAGTTGGCTTCGCCAGAACACCTCGGCTCTTCAACAGCAAGCAGAATTGCCATGCGGTGCGGCCTCTAGAGCTCTTCTCTTCGTCAATTACCACAGCATTAAGAAGGCCTCTGCCCCGGACTTCTTTGACAAGGGGAGATTTAAACGCCATAATTCCCGCGCGGAATATTTCACCGAGATACTGGGCACGATCAGCGAGTTTCTCATCTACGAGAACACGCAGGGATGTCATAGCGACAGCACACCCCAGGGGGTTCCTAAGTGATGATGTGAACTTTCATCCGAGAAAACCATGAGTATGACGCACCCGCCATATGTACTGCCGTGTTCTCCAGGCTGAATACAATACATGACCTCTCGGTCCGCAAGAACCGCCGAAACGGGGTACACTGCGGCATTCGGTGTGTGAAAACCCTCTAGGAATAATGTCATTGGTTGACTCACCTCCACCTGACAGCGCCTTGCCGAGCAGGACCATATCCGGCCGAATGCCTTCGTGCTCACAACACAGCATCTTGCCCGTCCTACACAACCCCTAAAGGATATGTACATGAGTAATAATTCCCAGGAAACCTGTAAAAGGAAACGAACCGTTTGGATCTCGTCGCAGATAAGGAGGACATTGTGCTTGGTACAGAGTTCCCGAACTTTAGTAAAGTAACCTCTGGGTGGTACGACAATTCTAAATGCGGTGCAGAGGTTGAGATATAAATCCAAAATGAACTCGCTAGAGAACGCACCCTGCTTCCCCTTGAATTGGCTCTACCAAAAAGGCTGCCACGTGCTTTCCATGAAGTTCGAGAGCACGCTCAAGATCCGAAATCTCTCCATAACGAATGACATTAGTTCCGTTATGATCCTGGTAAGTTGGTCCGACCCCCTCGAGGTAAGGGCCGAAGCCGCCACGGCTCTCCGGATCAGTGCTCATACTGGCCGTGAATTATAATTAATTAGGTCCCGAACGGACTTCCTGAAGGACGCTTTAAGCGCCAAACACACCTAATGACCCCCAGGGTTCTTCCGTGGAAATTTCCTTCAACGCTGAACACAATAGCTTTCCCTTCCGGCACACCCTTCTTTAGGTATGCCCACTTCCTAGCAAGCTTGACAGCAGTCTCGACGGCCTCGGCACCGGTATTCATCGGGAGAACACTTTCGTATGAGAACATTTGTGTAATCTGCTGAGCGAACCTCCCAAAGACAGAATTGTAGAAGGCACGAGATGACAGAGTGAGTTTCTGGGCCTGCTCTACTAGAGTAGCAACTATCTTTGGGTGACAATGACCCTAAAAATTTGACCATGTTCCAGTCAGCCCATCCCCCCAATGCATCATCTTTTTGCGGGTGACGAACCTGATTAACAGCCCTAATGAAGATGAGTGAATTGAAATTCTCATGAAAATGCAACGGAGCGCCTACGAGTATGCGGACAACATATCGATGTATTCTTTGCCTTCCGGGTCCCATACTCTGTACAGCAATGAGCTAAAAAGAACCAATCCAAATGGCACAAGTCCCTCACTTTGCCCCTTGTGCGGAGTCGAATACTACCGGTAGCGGATGATAACTATAAGAAACAAACGTTAACACGAGTCTTTATTCGTAACACTGGAGCAAATGAAATGATCGTCGATTTTAGCGCTGACTCGATACGTCTTTTTGACTCTCTCGACTATGGAAGAAAATACTATTGGCTAAAGGAGCATGAAAGACCTACTTGTGAGCGCCGTATTCGTGCTCCATGCTGATAAGAGTTGCTGAGGTTACTTGACCATTGGTAGTGCTAGAGGTGTGAACGCCATTCCCATTGTGCGGCTTCACGACCTTGTGAGTCGTCGTCACTTGATTATAGTGCCCGTTATCGACAGTAGGAGACATTCTGAGATGAGTGAGTACGTGGTTGTGGGAGAAAAGGCCTGAGCAAACGAAAGTGCTTGAGATAGCGGGAGAGTAGGAAGAAGGAACCCGACGTGTGAGTACTTGAGTCGTCTCATTTTGGTCCGCCCGATAAAACAGGACCCCGGTCGGTCCTTATGATGTAGCTTCTGTTGTCGCTGACACTTTCGCCCTTGAATCGATATCACATTGCGCTTGTTCCGTACTCCATCCCCGTCGGTAGCGCCTCAACGGAGAGGCATTCCGATGCCCCTCAGCCTCCGAACAAATCTTGGCGTGGAACGCTACATAGCCGTAGCCTGCTCGTACTAGTACATGACTCCATTCCGGGTGGAGTGCCACAATCCCAAACACGTCCGGTCATTCTAATTAGCCTATACAAGTGGGTCCGAGTGCGCTGTGACGCTACTACTGGCGTTGTCGAACGAACATGCATTCGATAAACTTTTGACTCGTTCGTTCCCACTACCCCTGACTACACTAATTAGACTGCAATATACGCATCAGTCCCTTACCACCCGCTCTTTTCCGTATCTTCCCGAAGATTACACTACTTTCATAAAACTTAGGCCAATCGGAGGTCAAAAAACATACTACTCGGGTGCGTCGTTTTTGACCCTCGATTCTGAAAGTATCAAATTTCAAGACATACCCTAAATATTTAATGACAGCTGGCAGCTACCTCCTGCGGGAACTTCGGGTTTGACATCCCAGTCCCAAGTTATACCATAATGCATCAATCATAGCGGCGTTCAATCAATGCATCCATCATGTCACTGTTCATAGTCTTATCAGATCTCCGAGCAAATGTATATCGGCTCGGCCTCGTTGCTCGGCCAGTAATATGTTCCCCTCATTTTTGCATAGTCCCTGCCAAGTCGACGTCATAGGTGGAGCAATCATTGGACGCCAAAGAAATCGTTCGTACTTGCCCGTTTTGCCCCCATGATGATGATCGAGCGTGATTAGGTACAGCTTAATCCCATCAAGATACACTCCCAAATCATGTGTACGCTCCTATTGGCTTAGCTGGTATCTAACTGGATCGTCGGAAGGGCTAGACTAAAGGAGCTCCCTCTCGTGTGACAGCTAATTAATATTGTCGCTGGCAATGACAAAGTCTCCAGATGGCCAAGGCTCTCTTCACGATGCCATGGGCGAAATTTAAATCACCGACAACAGAAAGGACGGGAACCAGGGTGCATTGAAATGTATTGTACAACAAAAAGATACTAGTCTGCATAAAGAACCCGTATGTCCGAGAGAAAACCGACGTCCTAAGACATAATTTTGCAAGTGTGGTATATCATAGTGTGTAGTGCGTGCGTGCGTAAATCTGCAGAAAAAAAAAAGGATCTATATCATCGTAAGTCAGCAGGCCACTCGCTCCTCCTCCTCCATCTCCCTTGCCTATCAAATCTCGGGTTTGTGGGAAAATTCAGTCCATCCTCGAGCCCGCGACCGACTGGCACTGAAAAATCATACCGCTCGTCAGAGACGAAAAAAAAGATACGGTGATAAAAACTCACAGAACCACCACCATACGTTCTTGCCCATCACACTTTCCCAGTTAGCTCGACGGCTTCCTAGCCACCAGAGGTTACCCTCTTTGCCAATCCTGCCCCATTCCTTATCCCAAAGTTGTCGCGTTCGTCTCTTAGCTCTGGGTATTCAGTTCAGAGTCGAGTAAGCAGAAAACGACCAAAAGAATTGTATCTAAAACGGTGAATAGGTACAAATCAATTACGCACCCACATTCATACCAACGATGCATGTGCGCCAGATTATCCTGTTCGCGCTCCTGCATTGATCTGAATCCCATGGATTCTACAGTTGTTTGATTCAACATGATCAGTTGCACTTGTGTCAAGAACATGAGGCAACAGAAAAGGCCGAAGAGAGCTGTTCTGTGAATACATGATGTCAGCGACGATGCCGACACTATCCGACAGGGACAGACAGAGCCAATAAAACGATATGTTGTGGGTTGATGGCGGGAGCTAAGGGTCTCCTCTGTGCCTTGATGTTCAGACCTAAGACGGTTGCGAACATCCAGAAGGAAAGTATCGATGCCCACTGTACGAAATTAACGAAAAACTCCGATGAAACATATCAGTAAATGACTAGAAGTTGACAGTCTTGTCAGGTATTACCTTATGGTTGTAAGCTCCAACGCAATGCCCGACCCCTATTTCCGATGCGATTAGCTATCGAATACAATAATAATAATTCTTACTGACATGGACAGTGATGATCATACTTGAGAACGCACTAGTGCCGTAAAACGTAAGAATACATCGTCATGAACGAATCGTTCCACTCACAGTGCCACAAGCTCGGCAATGATGCGTACGGGGAGGCTTGATGATTCTGTCTTTATTACAGAAACGATACTCAGGGACAAGGACAGGCGTCGTCGATGGCCGTCGCGCGAACATGGCTGAAGACGCATCTGAGCTGGGGTCGTGGAAGTGCTCGTGGTGTAGGTGTGGTGCAGGACCGGGGACGCGCATAGATTCAGATATGTCCACGATGTGTGCTTCGCCAGGGGTAGACGTGCCCTGGTGATGAAAAGTCGATTGAGACACCTTGTCTTGCTTCGTTCCTGCTGGAACAGCGGGGGATGTCACGGGTACACTATTTCCTGAATTTGATAATGCCGAGGCATGATTAGATACGTCGACTTTAGGAGACATAAGCTCGAAAGACATTCCACGAGTGTCATTGAAAGTAGCGGACTGCTGCGCATGCGCTGGTAGATGCCGCTCAAGCTCTTCCTTTTCTAAAAACTTGAGAAAAAGCAATCGGTGAAGATGTATGACGAAAGACTGAATACTGCATACTTCTGCTGGATACCCTGGCGATGTGGTCACGACCTGAGAAAACGTTTAAACGAAGCCAGTACCAATCGAGAATCTGCCAACCAACCGCGAAATACGACCACAAAACCACGAAGAGAAGGATGGAGAACACTACCAGAAACACGACTAAAATAAATATATACTCAGCGCTGATTCAGATGGGATGGAAAGACAAGGATTGTACATACTGCCGATAGTCAGACTTCCCAATGCACTCTCATTCTTTACAATCATATCCCTACAGAATATACCGACGTAGACATAGCTTGTGTATGCGATCAGAGCTAATGTGAAGCCGACGGCGAGCTTGAGAACAATCCAGGGCTGGGGTTTGTGAGCTCGTCGGCTGCGTGCTTCTTCTACGATGCCACAACATTTTCGGTCCGAGCTTGACATGGAAAGGATTTGACCGAACCGATGTGGTGGAATCTGGAAAGATCCTGGACTTGGCCCTTGCGCAGTTGTTGGTTCGAACAAGGAGTTCCGGATGACGTAATCTTTGGTATCCCTACATGTGTTTCGCTAGCGCATTGTTCATTCAGAATTAGAGCATACACGCCGCAAACGCACGTACTATTACGCCACCATCATGACGCGACGTATATCTTCGAACAAACATTCTTATATTCTTTTTTCCATCAACCCACCATGTGCAGATGCTCTAAAAATCAGGAAAACGATGCAGGATGGTTTGGCAGAGACTTTTGGGATCACAGCTTCTGGCACCTATCTCGATATCCTATGGATTGCTGAAAGTGGCTCAGAGATCGTCATACGCCTCTCCGAAGAGTCAGTCACGAGCATAACATTTATATCTCTCGGTGACAGATTTTGACGTCAGGGATGCACCGAAGCTGATGGCGGCCGTGGTTATAACACCTGTCTCTCCAAGATTTTCGACAATCAAACAAACAAATTTCCTCCCATCCTTAACATGATCGCCATCAAATTCTCAAGTCCACGCTGCTTGCTTGCAATGAATTTTTTTTCTCTATTTTCGTTGCAGAGCGCGTCAGCGGACCGACGGATCGGCACACCCCTTTCTCTCCCGTCGGTATATATGGCGTACTTTGCACAGGGAATGATACCCTACAATTTAGGAAGACCTACTAGTATCTATAACGGTTAGGTTGCCCCTGGAGTCGGGACTTTCCCCACTGCCCTTGCCCAAGCCACAAAATCATCTATCGCTGACGGCCATGCAGCTGCGGAACACATCAGTCAGCATGAACGCTCGAGAACAGAATAACCATTCCCACCCTCTGCATCATGTGTCAAAAATTGGGAATCAATCGAACGGATAAAATCAAAAAGCTATTATTGATCAGTCGAAGCCTAGACTGTGTTGTTGACCTCTCACCATCATCCACGTGTCTTTGCTCACACCCTTACCCCCTTTCTCCGTCAAGAACTGAAACCACCATTGCGTGTGCTCATGAGTCCACCCGGAACTTTTCTCGGCATCCATGTCTACATCTTCACCTGTCAACTCGTGTTTTAGTGCACCGCCTGTCAGACCTGTTGGAAGCAATAGATTCCAGAATGCCAGTGCCGTGTCGATCGCTAAAATAACAATAAATTTTTCTGCTGTTTAGCGGTCTGATCTGTGCGTACCTAGACTCCGTTGTCCTTCCGTCCGAGCAAAACTGAACGTGTGATCGTACACCTTGTGGAAATAGATTGAGTCAGATCCCAACTTTGCACGTAACCGCGCCAGGGCATCCTTCATCCCATCAACTGTATCACAACTGCACAGTATAATTAGTTGGGCTGTCTGAACTTTGGCGCAACTCACCCAAGTCGTGACCATCCCTCTACCCAACCTTTCTTGTTCCACTCTCCAACTCTCGGGGATTTCAATTCGTAAGCGACTGCAAGGAGAACAACGTTCTCCGGATCTACTTTGAGGTCCTGACACAGCTGAATAGTTCCGTCTATTGAAATTTCATCTCCATTGGGGTCTGCACAGACGTGGGTATTCAGTGGTGCTAGCATATGCAAGGAGTACTTGCCCTTGTATTTCTCGAACAAGGCATTCAACTTGCTTGTTGATGCAACGGTTGTTCTACCACCGCCCTCTTGATAATAGGCATCAATTGCTGCGTCAAGGCGTCTCTGGTGTTTGTCAAGATACCGCCTAGCATCTTTCTGACTGCGGAGGAGGATATCAATATCTGCCACCCAAAAGCTCGATCGATCTGATAAAACTCACGATGCGCCTGTGATGGAGCAGAACTCGGATAGAAGAGTATCCTTGGAGGTTTTAGACTAGCCAACGGAATCAGATTCACTGGTATATCATGGTAATCTGAATTGATCCAGCGTGGATGAACACTGACCATCGTACTCGCGAGGAAAGGGATGAATGTTTCTAATCGATCGTATTCACTGCAGAGGAGATAAGCGGCGTTTGCCGGGCGGCTGAGTCATTGACACGACCTCGAAGCGCGTCCACTAGGCGCGCCCAACCCGATCACGCCGGTGCTCCTACTAGGTCATATTGCGTCTAAAGTTTTCCACCTCGATACGAGTCAGGGATTTATCTTCCATTTGATCGGACACGAGCGCTCGACCTCCTAACCGTAGAAGTACCCTAAGAATGGTAAAGATCAAAGATTTCTTTCCCCGCATTGCACAGCATGCTGAAGGACTCATATCCGCCGTTTGTGCAGTCTGCTCCTCATGGATCAACGCCAGAGCCTGGGGAAATCACAGCCATTTTATCTCCCGCATTTCACTACTTCACCTCCATTAGTGTTCAGGTTATCTCTCGTGCCTCGTGGCTGATTCCCAGCGCTTATCAGCGAGTCATCTTTGCGGATCATAAATATGTATTAAATGAATCATTGGACGACTGGCTCTACATACACGAGGTCGATCGACGGACATGAGACGACTTCTGTTCGGAAGTAATACAACAAGTCTATGTCACATTTATTTCGGTCCACGCGGCAGAAGGGATTAAGTTCCCCACAATCCCGTTTCGAACGGGTCAATCGTTCACGGAATATTCTCAAGAACTTCGTGAGAAAAATACAGGCACGTGTGGACTAGAACAGACTCGGCATCTCGGTCCGATATCACAGCGGGGAAACGTCATGTCCAAAACAAGCATTGCCATGATCTCATCGCAGCCAAGTGTCAGATCAGATCTGAGATTAATAAAAGTCATGCTGTTCCTAACGGATCCCCGAGGGAAGAAACTCGGTTGGGCGTTCTCCGGATCTCTGACCATCGTCCGGTGCCCTACTCTGATTATGTATGTGTGTACGTATGTGTATGCTTTCCGGCAATCATCCCAAACCGAGGCGTATACCTGCGTACATACCCAGTCTAAAGAAGACCTACTTGACATCGGGAAGCCCCGGATTTGACTCGTAAATAATTACAGGACAGATAGACCGTGGGTTTGCGAAACGTCGCAGATAATATAAGAGGTTATAACCTCTCGGGATGTGCTGAGAGGTGACTATGCTATCGTGCGACGATCCTTGAGCCTGCCCAAGGAACTATTATCGGATCAACCGAAGAACTATGGAAACGTTAGTTTGACACCCACGTATCAGTCTGTGCATCTCTCTTACCTATCAATTCCGAACAACTATACGTTTAGTATGCTTCCCTGCTCGCCGGCGATCTGCATAAGGAGTTGGCCTCCGCCAAGCATCATCTGAGTCTTCTCGGTAATCCTCTGTAGGAGCAACTTCTACTTTTGCACCAGGAATAGGATGTACGTCATGAGGTGGACTACGTAAACCGACGCCACCATGATGTGATTGCGCGTGGAGATTAAGAGGGGGCTGAGGTGGTTGGCTGTGAGGTGCCACGGGAAACATGGATGGTGGTTGCGTGGGTGTCGGCATCGATCGGGAAGACCGGGCTTGTTTAGGATGATGCGGATAGGGTCCCATTGGCGAATCAACAGGTGAATGATGCTGAGGATGTGGTGGAAGCTGTGGCCATGAACGCGGTGCACCACTTTGTTGTGCCTCCCTAGATTTTGTGCCATTATGAATATCGTCTTGTTGTGGCACATCGATTTCTACTCGAACGCGAACGATCTCCCTTCCGGCTTGAGCGAAGAATGCGCGTTCCTGTCGTTGAAAGAATCCACTGGTAGGACCAGGTCTCATCTCTGCAAAGTTTGCTGGTGGTGCAGGAGGGAAGAGGGCCATGAGTTCATGACCTGTAGGTGGTGCAGGGTACTTTCTGGGTGTAGAACTACCATCCTGAGTTAGGTTGACGTCTTGATGCATATCAGAGGACGAAATGGTGAAAGACGAAGTCGAGCTTACCACGTAATGAACTTGGAGAGAGAGGACGCCTTGGTGCGCCTGATTGTGGTGAAGTATGAATTACTGATGATTTGTGAAGTGGACTATGATCCCCTGCTGTTGTTGTAGAGGCGCTTGATGGTGGGGATGGGGAGTGCTCTGCGACGGGACGAAGATGGAAAGAAGACATTGTGTGGACAGGTGAGATGAAGGGAAAATGGAAGAAGAAGGATCTTATATAGGTTGACGAACCGAAGAGATAATAGTGGCCGTAATTGATCGTCCTCTCAAACTTGAAGGAAGAAGGAACGCGGAGGAACTTAATTGGAAGGATCAAGTCCATCCCCAGCGAAACTTTCAATATTTGATTCCGGGTACGATGTAATGTAATAAATTCTAAACGAGTACAAAAACGTCACTAGCACGAATATTTCATTAAAATTTTCTCTTTTAAAAGTAATCTTAGATTGATGTTATCTTGATGTAATTCCGGACCATACGACCTACAACTTTACCTCGTTTTTTATACCTGAAATGGTACGTAGACTCATCTTTTTTTCTTCTTAACCGCGAGGTTGTTATGGCCAAAAATTACAATGAATTCCCCCCCCTATGATCGTGCGAAAGTAAAGATAGGCTGGGACATTTCACGAAAACAACTCGACATGTCGATTTCCTCTCTCCGACTGACACAAAAGGCAGCAACTCGTGCCCGTATCGCATATCTCCCGCATCTTCGAAAAAAAAAACTCAGTGTACACGAGGGTCCACCAAAAAGTGCCTGGACCCCCTCTTCGATACCAACCACATCCCTGGGCCATTGATCGGCGTGCCTCAGCTCTCGTCTCATTGGATATGTTCGGGAGAGTCTGATAACCGTAGCATCCAAAAATGAACTTTATAATCTCACCGTAGTGACCGAAGCCCTGTCGCCCTTTACGTGCCCAGATGCTCTGCTCCCAGGATTGTCTTTTCTGACGCTACATTCGCAAGCCCTCGGGAGCGCTTGTTATACATCACAGCTCCTGCAGGCACCTTTGTCCAACTGGGGAACCCTGCTAGCTTGATCAAAGTCACGGTCATCGGATTCACAACCATCACGATGGACCTTTGATGCGGACTCGGACTAAGCAGGGTTTCGTGGCTGACTGTAACGACGTACATACCACAGGTGGGAACAACAGGTGGCGCTATGAAAAGTAAGGAACCGTATCCGAAATGGATACGGACTGAGACGCGAACGCAGTTGGCATCTACCCCTTCAATAAGCGCCAAATCCCCAAGCAAGTTCGGCTTCTTCTCGTTATCTGTGGAGCACGACAGTCAGATGATGTAGGTGTCTGTAGGAGGCGTTTCATCCAGATGAACGCGAGACCCGGCATCATTATTAATGACTTCCCTTAATGAGCGGTTCTGAGTTAAAGTCTACCATCTCCTTGTCCTAACTTCTTTTATTTCTCCATCATGCGTCACTTATCGCGTCAAAGGCTCACCTCCTAAGGAAGGTTCAAGATCGACTCTAGGGTCCAGGGTACCGATGTGCCGATGTTCATTCTTTGTTCCACTATGAGTTAGCTTCTTAGTTTGCTGGCACGCTTCTTAGCTTCAAAGTTCGAGGGAGGCGGCATTCACTTGCATCAAATGTCCGGTCCTCAGGCCCTTACGTAAGATTTCTCAAGGTACCAAAGTTTACCTAAACTATCAAGCCTTGCAACCAACCCAACAACCATGGTCGAGACTCAGAAAACGCTTAGCACAGGAACTTTGAATCTCCGTTTCATGCAAAATGCTCGAAGAGCACAACAGTTACCTGGTGCCGATGTCGAGCTCGAGAAAGCACACGTCAAAGATGATGCAGAATGGGAAGTAGCGCCTGATATCCGTAAAGCTTGGGGATTAGCAGAGAGGTCCAACTCAGATTCGTGAGTTATGGGTAGTTTAATTTTGCGTCATTATGGCTTTAGCCAACTTTTTTTTTTGTTTCTTTTGCAATGTACAGAAATGATGATCTATATGAGAGATCGTATATGCCTTTCCTCTTTCCTTCTGTGTCTGAGACGCCCGCAGAAGACAAAGGAGCATCATCGCCATCGACGTCTTTTAGCGGTTTAAAACCCAAAGGCCGTCGCAAATTCAATAAACACGGAGAAGAGGTGAGCACATATCCGCGGTGCCCCAGGGTCATATCCCCTTTGAAGCATGCAGAACCATGTTCATTGAAACGTCCCTTATCGTTAGTCATTCAAACCTCCAGAAGTGCGGCCCACAGTAGCAGATGTTCAACCTGATGAAACACGAAAAAAACTCAAGATCAAATCGATATCCAGCTCGACCAACAGTAACGCGTCATCAAAGAAGCTCAAGGAGCCAGCGAGTCGGGTGATATACGACAACAGCAACGTTGGCGTTGATCTTCTTCGTTCAGGCTCCTTATCTTCAAACCGCACGTCATCTGCATCAGCACCGAAGTCGACTACCGGCAGTAACGCGTTCATGAAGCCTGCTGGCGTAGATGATCCTTCTTTCATCCCTTCCACCAGGGATAATGATGCACCCCCAGCTTCAACTTCTACCTCTTTCGCACGAAAGGGAAAGAGAAAGCAGGATAACGCAGAAGTCGAAACCACGGAACTGAAGAAGAAGAAAACATTATCATTTGTCGAGTGAGTTGATCGGACCGTTGGGGGAAGCACGTGTATGTCATGATCGCCGCCTTGGTGCTATACGCCCAAATGCTTTTTCATCGCTGCCACTTCCTGGATGCAATTTACTCCGCATGAACTCCCGGTTTTATGTGGCTACCTATTCCACGAACGCACATGCACCACATATGTTCGCTCGATTCATCAGCACTATATTTGCTCGGCTTTCCACGCTTTCAATACTACAGTTTTGGAATCTGGTCATTGTCATGCCTACTTGTTTTTTTTATACAAAAAAATTCTTATTGCATGCGAATTGAATTGCTGAAGCGGTGCGATGTCGACATGACCAATCAGATAGGAAACCGAGTGAGGAAATTTTCATATATGTGGAAAGACTGGTTACATGTCTTGGAAACCCACATGGAACGCATGGTCTTGGGTTTGAGAATATACGGCTTCAGATCCCTTCGATTCCTGAGAAAAGGTAAAAACGTGAGAAGGGGGCTGCGCTTTCCAGGGACGCGGCAAGCTGCGTTGAACTGTTTTCGTTCATCGCCGTCATGGGTGGATTTTGGATTTATGCTCCCCCCCCCACCCCTCTCCCTCACCCGTTGGCAGAAAGCGTCAGATGGGCAGATATCAATATTATATAATATTTATTATTATCAATACCAACACAACGGGAGAACACGCCGCTCCCACAAGGCGAGTATAAAAACGAGATTCTACGTGTACACACTCGTATGGCACGATGCTTTCAAAAGGCCTTTCACCGTAACACCGCTCGGTTTCTGGGGATATACATAAACTTGGCTTCTATTCCTTCCGCCGACGTCGGTGCCGGAACGTGATCCACCTTATGGCATCCCCGGAACCGGGAACTTTGTCACAATCTGCTATCTCGTTCCCGTTTCATATGTAGGGATGGCTGAATGTAGTATAGTCTATCTGGCCTCATGGGTCCTACATAAAACACCAGTGTCCATTCCACATCATGGGCTCCGTTCGTATATAGGTTCCCGCAGGATTAATATCATCATCGAGACCTCTTTTTATATTCGTACTTGTGGAAATGAGATGCAGATGCGTAGATTGTGACAGATTGAGATAGTGATAATCTTGTAATGGTATGATGCCTCATGTGCGCTAGGTTGGCACGGATAATGTAGCGCGGTTAGCGTCTCGGGTATAATGATATCGACCGTACGATGGCAGATTCGTCGTCATCCTCGCTTCCAATTCGCCTCGCTCATTGACTCCGATACCAGGTCCAGAACCACCCGTCCCCATCCCCAGATCACTCGATGCAGAAAAATAAGCAGAAGCAGTTCCAAACGAGTTGTTCTTGCTCAACGTAGACGCCATAGACGGCGTCCACCCAAAAGACGAACGCGGAGATCCGAGTGTGTGCATCTCGGAAACTGAAACCCTCGAGAAGCGCGAGCCAGTCATCGACAGCGCAGCTTCTTGAGACCCGAATGATTGGATGGTAGCCATCCGCCGTACGAAACCGCCCATTATGGGTATCAGTTCGTCTTCTTCGCCGTCACCTGATTCTATGGTCGTTAGCGACGTTCCAGGCTCGATGATGTCTGCCCTTGCTATAACTGCCGCGGGAGATCGGGGTTGTTGGGTAAGGAAGATATTAGCGTTAGCAGTAGCCGGCGGCGCGGGATTGTAGATTTCCAGATAGGGGTATGCTGGATCTGAGGCCCCATATCCATAAGAGTAGACAGAGTCAGAATCACGGCTGCATGTCTCCGAATCCATCGCCAGTACTGGAGAATCAGTCCCAGTCCTGTGGCCTTCCATCGGATACACACCCCGACCTTCAGCGATGCCCACGGAATGATCTGATTCCGAAGCATCCGGACCAAGACTAGCACCGACGGCACACACGTCCGTGCACTCCTCCCAGGCACCGGGTGTTGTATTCGCATTCAGCAAGATATGTTCACTCGAGATAGTAATACGGTTCTTCCGGCGGAGCGAACGCAATGTGGGTGTGTCAGAAAGATTATTGTGCCTTTGACGGTCTTTTATTGTTAATCGCAGATTTTTCCAATTTCGCCATATCGGGCTGGAAGCTGGAGGTGCGGGGTTGGAGGACTGCGTGTGTGTGGCTTGGGTCCTTGGATGGGAGTGGGTATGGGAGCGAGATTGGGTGGGAGAAAGAGTGGGGGAAGGCGCGAGGGTGATACTTGAATTAGTTAGCGCTAACATCGAGTTAGACCTTTCTATTGCAGCTCGACTCTGTATTAGCTTGAAGTCGAAGTGCGTTCCTGATGATGACGGGTCGAGAGTGGATACAGGTGAATCGATAGTGGAAACAGGAGAGTTTACAGCACCCTCCGAGGCCATTAATGGTGGGTAGTACGTCTCTTTGGTATATCTCGAAGGATGCCTCGCTTCAGAATATACCCCGAGGAAGTAAACATACAACAGCTGGATGAGAAGAACGCTCGTCAATCAGAACCACCTCAGACTCGAAAACGAGACTCACGATCATGATTAATGTAGCAACAACCCTAAAGGACGCGACGATCGTCCAAACTGCAAAACTCGCAGTGCGACAATGCCTAGCTGTCGAATCCCCAGCGATGGTGACTGTCGCAGACCACGAAATATCCATATTCCACCCACATCTATCCACAGGCTTCCATACCGAAACAAATACAAGATTCACAATCGCCGTCGCGATTGTCAACACAACAAAACACCCTCTTAAGATCATCCTCGCAGAACGAACGAGCCCAGCTCCGTCTTTCGGAAGAAACGGCATAAATAACGTCATGACCACTCCCGCGAAACTAATACCAGAAACAACACACAAGACGAGCGCAAGCGTGCGTATGTGTACATCGCTCGTAAAAGCCGTTTGAAATGCGAGGGAATAGCGGATCGTGCAATAAATAGCCCATATACCTGTTGAACCAACAAAATATCAACATTGGCCCCGAGACAGAGACAGGGACGGGTCATACCGAAAACAACTTCAAAAATTCCACATATCCACCTTAAGCGACGCAGTTTTGCTTTTGTGAACCGGCCTTCGAGGCTTTTACATTCCGCTGCTGTTATTGGGTCTCCTGTGAGGTCAAGACCGAGGTCCCAGTGTCGTGGACCGTCTGGGTGGAGTGGTTGGCGTAAGAGTAGGTCTTGGTAGGTGAAGGAGTTGTAAGTTGGGGATGTAGGGTTTTGTGGTTGTTCTTCAACCGTTGTGAGCGAGAGAGTACGTGTACGTGTCATGTGGGGCATAGGCATAGCACGTTTGTCTGATGTGAAAATTGCATTATGCAGATCGAGCGCAGTCATCGATGCGTGCGTGAACGTCGTGGTTCAACAAGAATTGAACCCAAAAATTTCGTCAAGCCATCAACGAAAACAAAACAAGGTTGGCTTCGGTGGGCTAGGTTGAATTAAAGCGTGATTCTTGGAGACGCTAAATTAATTGGTCCATTAAGCCTCGCTTTGAGCCTTCGCATCAGGGTCTGGACAATTGATTGTAACACAAGCGACTTACCTAACTTACATTACTTATCTGAACTTTCTGAAAGACTCGAGAGCCGACCACATTGTGCAGCTTATCGGTTCATGTCGTACGACGGACAGTGGACTGAACCTGAACTTTAAAAAAAAAGAGAGATTGAGGTTAACGTTGAAGTTGAAGTTCAGAAACGTGCCTTCGAGCTGCTTCTACCAGGATCAATGAAGGTTCGTCAAACGCAATCACAATAACGTTACTTACTTATATCCCTTTCTGTTCATGTTAACCCAATCCGCATAAAATGTAAGACAGGGCAATGAGGCATCCGACTCGGATATGATGTGGTAAAGCAAATCGAAGCTTCAAGATGATCTCACTCCGACTATACGTACCGTTACAACTCCCGAACCACATCGTTCGACTCCACGGGTCGACCATAGCGCCAGCCTGCCAAGCTACTAACTGGTATTCGGTTGGGTTCGGTCATGTGCAACGTGCATAGCTCGCTTAGGCCCATCCCTGGAATGCATGTACGATACCACACGGTGATCGGTTCAACTTCGCGCGATGCGGTAGTAGTGGATGGTATTCTGATTCCACAAGAAATGTATCAGATCTAGGCTGGAATCCAACGCTCAGAGACAGAGGTTCGACCAATTACTCTGGTTGCGTCAACGAAGTTGGTTTGGCCGAATATTCTTGAGGCTGCTGCAGTCCCTTGTGTTTTGGAAGATTTGACCGCTCAGTTTTCAGCCCCTTCAGTGCCCATGGTGACGGGCTCGAAATATTTTGAGCCGGCGCGGCCCAAGTGGTGAAGCCACTGAGTCACAAAGGCACAGCCCTACAGTTGTTGAGGTTCAGTAAGCACCCTGGCCAATATGTATGTTCTTCATGACGTTCAGCTCCACCTGATTTCACGTAGAGAAATGCTCGCGCGATGGAGAAACGGTCGATACTATCACCCCGAAGAGCCCTATCGCAAGTAGTTCACAACCTCCCAAGCACAATGTCACCCAGCCATCTTCGCAACTACAGGCAAGTGACTCTTCGATCAATAGTTGTGCTCCGCCTGCGTCACATTCATTAGTAAGACGCAAGATTACACCGTAGCGTTGACCTGCTTAAAAAAACAACGATTCATGCACTCTTGCCTGCATAGCGGACCTGACCTGATCTTATTCAGTGTTTTTGTACTACGGTGCTGTCCTTTTTTCTAATGTTGCTAAAGTGGTGCTCACGCTAGCGTCAGATGCTAATCGAACATTCTTGGGTGCTGATTGAAGGCTCCCGTGGGTGGTGCGCACTTTCATTGTTGTTGTGTACCATCAATACTAACACGATGATACTCCAGACGCTAATTGAAGGTATTTAGCTTACAATTCTATGAACAATAAATACTGTCGGCTTCACTGATGTGTCGAAGGCTTTTTTTGAGGAGGGTACGTTCCGTCTTCATTTTTCAAGTCCAGCTCGTAATATACTACCGACTAGATTTCCCCTACTCAGGGCGCTGCTCAGGCCAAGCCGTCATTACATTCTGAAAGCCCAAGCCCTCAGGTCATCGAGTTACTCTAAACAGTGCGCAGTCACAATGAATAAAGTATGTGGTCTTCATTTTGTCTACTCTATAATTTTTCCTGATCTCAACAGACTGTCATCAACATGCGATGTCGAGGGCAAACTTTTAAACGGACGTATCGTATTAAGGTATCGATAAGGTATTAAACTGATGAATAAATGCCCGTTTCTACACATGTACCAAGCTATATGGCGATTGGTGATTCCATTGTCGTCCAAGGTGCAACTTACATCGCAACACTGAACTTCACATTAGATCACCACGCACATTCCACGATGTCCGAGAGCAAAACATAATGTAAGCAGACCTTGCCGTTAGGAACTACAACAAACAGACGGTGCGGCGATAGTATTAATATTGTGAGAACCAGCCGAGGACCTCTATGTGCCGTGGTACTCAAAGGCTAGACTTCCAACCTCCAGGGATTCGAGAACAGTGCGCGTGAGACTAGGGCGCTCTCCTTGAAGACTTCCGCATTGTCCAAGCCCCAAGGCTTTGTCACATACCCGCGGTATTAATTCCGTCAAAACCTGAAACTCGGATAATAACAGGGTTCTCCGAAACGCACCAATTTAGATGCTCAGTGCGATCGCTATATAGGCGACCGGACATCATCTCTAGCGTAAAATAGATGACCTCAAACGACGGAAAAGGACTCAAGCATGAGGACGTGGTACGTATTTCCTTCATCTCATCTGTGGCGTGGCGATTAGTGATCAGGCACTACCATTACTCATGGTTCTCGATACGTGAAACAGAACGTGTCTATCCAGAAACACGGTTTCCAGTACCCATCTCGCCTGCCGGGCGGAACATGACACAGCTGAAGAGGAAAAAGAAGTGCAGGGTATAAAATGTTCCTTAGGCATTTGTCGGTAAATTGTCGCTGATCTACTTGGTGGAAGTAGAAGATGATTCCGAGCGATGAGCTTGAGAGAATATTACAGGGCCAATCAGATAACAGATGCTGGCATATAGGCAACGCGACCCACTGTAATGTTGATTGATCTTCGCATTTGACACCAGCTGACGTTATGAACGGATGAGAACGCTTGGCAGCGGACTAGCCTTTCGCTTTCTATAATTACTGGGAACTAGCTCATACTGGACGCGGATGGACTGAGGCTGAACGGAATGTGATCATATGATGCCTAGGCGCGTCAGGTGCACAGCCCATGCTGTGTAATGCATGTGAAGTGAACACAAAACAACGTACCGGAAGTTGTGAATTCAACTCTGCTTGATCACTACAACCCTTATTCCCTGCTGTCTTCTCGTAAGTGATGGTGTTGAAAATTGATCGATAAAAGCTGAGGCGACACTGCACTCCACAGTCAAAATTCTGGAAGATGGTCTCACCCACCGCTAAAACGCAAGAGACATTAGCGATGATACCCTGCAAGAAATTTGAAGGACACACTGATGTTGTCTGGGGCATAATACACCTGCCAGGTGGACAGTGGATCATGACCTGTTCACGTGATGGCTCGCTGCGAGTGTGGAACTTGAAGAGCGGGAAACAGGTAGGAGAGGACTGGAGAGACGGAGAAAGTAAAGTGCGCTGTATAGCATTGTCTCCGGACGGGAAGACAGTGGTTAGCGGGAGTGAGGATGGTGCAGTGAGGTTGTGGGATATCGACACATGCAAAGTCATCACTAAATGGATGGGACACACAAAGGAAGTGGTGTCTGTCTGCTGGAGTCGAGATGATGGTCAGCGAGTGTTGAGCGGATCTTTGGATAAGACTGCAAGGCAATGTGACATGGAAAGCGGAGAGACTCGGACAATCCTGGAGCCAGGGCACACCTACGTGTTCGCAGTCGTCTATTCACCAGACATGTCCATGATTGCGACTGGTGGACTCGATGAACCCTGGAGCACAGAACCCATCGAGTGTTCCATCAAGATCTGGGACACACAGAAAGGCGAGCTTGTCGCAACTCTGAAAGGACACACATCGGCAGTGACTTGCCTGGCTTGGACCAAGGACGCAAAAATCATCTCTGGGTCAGCCGATAACTCTATTAGGACATGGAATACCAAAACATGGAAGCAAATAGCGGTTCTGGAAGGGCACACTTGCTGGGTCTGGGCCATTGCAATATCACCCAACGGCCGTATCCTCGCAAGCGCATCAGACGACAAGACAGCACAATTATGGAACCTTGACAATGGACGACCCATAAGGTCCCTTCAGCACGAAGACTACGTGAACTGCGTGACATTTTCGGCAGATGGAAAGCTACTAGCCACTGGCTGCCGCGACACAAACGCGTATACATGGGACGTTGCTGCGGTGCTTCGAGAAGATGGCCTCGCCGACCTTCTTGAGGATCCAATCCATGTACGTGACACACTTATTAAAAGATCTTGTTGTTCTCAACGTATACACTCTAGGATCGTGCCACACACCCTGTGGTTCAACGAAGTCGGGTACCCCAAGGTTTTTTCGATGGAGCCCCATCAGATCGTTCTCATGTATGTTATCACTGTCAATCTGAATGGGTTTTGACATATGTTCTCAGTCCTCTGCACGAAGCCGTCCCCACTATTCAGCACCGCCAGGAAGCACGTTTATTGGCCGTTTCTTTCATCGCAACCGCAAGCCCTCCAGTGTTGATGATACGTCACCATCCTTTGCTCTTGACTGGGCTCGAAATATTTTGAAACGGCGAGGACGAATCCCTGCAGTGAGGGTCCCGTATGCGAAGGGCAAGCGTGTATGTTCTTTTCTATCCTTGATTGTTCTACTCCACCCAATGTCACGTAGAGAAATGCCTGTGCGAGGGAGAGACGGGAACCGAAGATTCCTACCGCAAGTAGCTCACGGCCTTCAAAGCCCAATGTTATCCGGCTGTCTTTGCAACCACAGGCAGCTGACTCTTCATCGTCCACTGCATCTACCATTGGTGATGCTACTGGCATACCCACAACTTCAACACCCTCACGCCCAGATGCAGTGATAAGACAGGCTGGCCTCTGGACTCGCTTCTGGCTCATGATTGGTTGTATCTCTCCTGAATATACGGACGGTCATCATTAGATCTTCTCATCCTTCACAAGTCGCACGTCTCTCAACAGATTCACATTAACGTGCTTTGCCCACTTCTGTTGATGTGTTTTGAGCCGTCATTCATGATACCACGCCTGGTCATCTCCGTCTGAAATATATACGACCCACTCAATTTTCTGCAGCTGAGATCATGTTGTATCGAACATGTATAAAATTCTAAGCATCAACCATTAAGTGAACAACGATCTCACACACAAAGGGGCTCGCTTGTTACCATTTTCTTAAAATGACTTGAATGCTCAATGCTATTTGGCAGGTGACATCACCAAAACTGCCCAAATGTCACAACAGGTAACATTAGGTAACACTACCTTATCTGGAATTTTTCCCATGATCGAGTGTTATGGCCCCATATATGCGTGCAGTCATACAAGATTGGCACATTATCAAGCCTCCCCAC